TGAGGCCCCTTTTCATCCCGGAGCCAGCTCAGCCTCAGGAAGGCAGAAAAGGCTTCTTGTTTAAGGCCAGGCGGGCAAATCTGGTCCCACTGCCACTGCCGTCTTCCTTCATCCCTGGGCTGTGCTGGGTGCCCCAGCAGCCGGGCCTCTGCCCAGGCAGCTGAAGACGGAAACCTCCCCGCTGACTGCAGGCCTGGCGAGGGCCAACAGGGTCCACCACTGGCCTGGGACTCACAGGCTCCCTGGTCCCGGGTGAAGCAGCACGTCCAGGCCAGGGCAAGGGACACAGGCTGGGGCACTAGGTGCCAGCGAGGCCCAAGGGCAGCAGGAAGGGGTCTTGCGTCTCCTCGCACCCCTTCCCAGGCCCCCACCTAGGGCCCTGTGGCCTTAGCTCTGCTCTCTGCTCCTCTGGGTCAAGTCCTGGGCTCCAAAGACGGGACGGGAGTTGGGGTCTCTCAGACGCTTGTGCCCAGGCCTGCTGGGACACCACCTGAGGTTTCCGGAATCAAGATAAAAAGCCACGTTGCCCTCAGAGCCTGGCTGCTTCCTCATGGCTGGGAAGCCCCTTCTCCTCACCCCTACCTGTCTCGGGAGCCACCACTGCCTGGTCCCCTGGCCTGGGCATTGGGGGAACTGTGATGTGCTTTGGTCTGGAAGGGCCTCTTGTTCCTGGGCTTCTGGACGAGCAGCGGCCTGTGCAGACAGAGGGTGTGGTTAGAGGACAGCGGGTCCCCAGGTGTGAGGAAGGAGGGCACTAGTTGGTTCGTTGACACACATGGGCCTACCCAAAGGAACCCCTGGGTGAAAGCTGTGTCTAGGACCTTAGATTAACACAGGATTCCAGAGGACTTAGTATATCATGAGGATGAAAACCTGGTCGGGGGCTGAGGGGCGGTCAGGAGAGGGACTCAGCTTCCTAGAGCCCTGAGTGAGTCCTGACCCTGCAGGCAGCCCCTGGGTGTGGGTGAGGGCACCCTGAGTGCACGCAGCCTCTGCAGTGCCACCCCTCACTTCCCACGCCTCGAGTGGCCCACGGAGTGTCCAGGAGCTCAGGACAGGCCACAGCCAGCTGGCCCAGCCCACGGGTGAGAGCGGGACCTCTGGCTGTCTGGACCCCCCAGCGCATGTCTCGGGCCTTCTTTAGGTCCACACTGGGGGTGGAGGCAGTCGGCTTTGGAGGTGGTAGAGGAGAGGCCACAGAGGCCAAAAAGCTGGCTGTGGGGCCTGACTGGACAGCAGGGTGGGGCTGGTTCTCAATGCCAGAGCAGAGAGGAGGCTGCACGTGGGTGTCCTGTACCCCCTCCTCACAAGCATGGCTGCTTGTACCTGGGGGGCAGGCAGGGGTCCTCGTGGACACACACACCTCTGAGTCGTCCATTCCCACGCCTCTTCCTCTGTTCTCTCCGGGCTTTTTTGCTTAGCAGAGACCCTACACATCTTCCACATCAGTGTGTGTGTTTAAGAATGCACACACGCAGGGATCTCCATTCTTTTTAACAGCACCGCATTCTCTGGCTGGATGGAGCGTGATTCAGTGAATCTTAGTGTATCCCATAGATAGGAAGAAAGGAGATGGGGGCAAATCCATAAAATGGAGAAATCCTAGATGTCCGGCATCCCAGCAGCCCTGCAGGGTGGGGGCCCTTTCTGGGCTCCGCTGTGCCCAGCCTCCAGCCCTGCCCCAGCTACCTGCATCCTTCCCTGGGCTGGGTTCCTCTTCATTAGCACTGGGCCCAGAGCTGTTTCTCAGGAAGCGTTTTCAGCACGTGTCTCTTTTGTGTCAGCACATCGGTTTGTGTGGCATTTATTTCCATCATATCCCACCCCCACCCTGGCACCTTGTCCTAAAGCCAGTGCCTCTGCCCTGGAACGTGCCGGTCCCTCTGAGCGCTTTGCTAACCGAGCTTCCGTCTCTCTCCTCCTCTGCGCAGCCCTGGGGCCCGGCTCCTGCTCCGGTGGTTTAGAGAAGTAAGCTGGTACGTGACGCCTTCGCACGCGGGGCGGGGGCTCTGCGGGCGGCCTTGGCAGGGTGCTGGAGAGAGGGCCCCAGCCACCCTCCCTCTCCTGCTCCCGCTGGGGGTTCCTTCCCATTTTCCGGGCTCCTTCCACAGCCGTGTCTTCTCCGGGGCCCTGGATTCAGAATCCAGAGCGCTCCAAACACCAAGGCAGAGGTGCCCCTGAGAGGTGGTCCTTCGGGGTCTGATGCTGGCTTTTGGAACCAGAGGATTTCCCATCTGGACCAGGCAGCCCATTCAGGCTCTTGCAGCCTTGAGGGTCCCGGGATCAGTGACTCAGCCCTAGCTGAGACCCTCCCGTCGCTGACAACTAGCCTGTTCCCCCACCCACCTCTGGAACCTTCCGGAACACCAACATGCCCTGATGTCAGTCTGTGAGGCAGCTGCGTGAAGTGGTCTCCCCACCTAACAGGGAGGTGCCCTCTCCCTGGGCAACCCAAACAGACGTTTTACAGAAGACAGTTCTGCGAGCACCACTGGGAGGGGACGCGCTGGGGCCCCTGCCCCTCCCTCAGGTGACAGCAGCCTCACCAGCAAGTCTGGAGATAGAGAACCTGGCTCCTTCGGTGGCCCAGGGTTTCCAGACGAGTGTGGGTGGGGTCGCACCGCGCGCTGTGTCGGCCTTGTGGGACGCAGCCCTCCTCCCGGTCAGCCGTCCTGGACCCAGGCTGCGGGGTCCATCCACCCACTGCCTTCCCCCACAGACCTTTCTCATCTTCCTTGATCATTCCTTGTGACGAATCTTACTCTCTGCTGAAATAGGACCTGACACTTTTATTCTCATCCGTGGGAGATGTTGAGTGTTGCCACTTAGGTAAAACTTCCGGAAGTAGGAAACAGGTCAGACCCGGCTGCTAGGAATTGTATTTGTCCTGTGTGCTGTGTGGCAGAGCTGGCTTCCCACGAGAAGCCACGGCTCCTAAGAAAACTGTCCCTCACCGAGTCCCCGAAGTCTGTTGCAGGGGGCTTCTGGGTTTGCCATTGAATCCACCCCGGGGCTCCTTGTGCGGATGGGCATGGCCCTGAGAGGTGTGCAGCTCCCCCTGCACCAGCCCCTGGGGGTGGCCTGAGCCAGGGACGGAGCCCCTCACGGCATCCTGGAGGCGCCATGTGGGGATGGCGGGAACAGCCTCCAAGGAGGGCAGGCAGGGGCTCCTGGGGCCGCTCTAGGCGCCCCTCCACCGGGGGTGACCGAGTTCCAGCCAAATTCAGTGGCCTGTCGGAGCCCAGGAAGCACGGAGCAGGCACAGGCGGGGCAGCTGCTGGGGACCCAGAGCCTGGTGGGCGAAGGGAGCGGTGAGGTGGGGCAGCTCAGCCGAACGTGACCCTCCTCCCTGTTTCCCGCCTGCAGGATGGTCCACCTCCATGGAGACGCCCCACAGCCTCCACACCGCTGGGCCCCCCCGACCAACACTTGGTGGCCCCAGTCCTGACCCTGGGGCCGCTGAGCTGACCCCACTCTGAGAGCGTGGCCAGGCCGGCAGCATGGAGCCCTCAGCTCCCCAGACTTGGCCGAGGGGCTGCCCGGACTCCAGCGTGACCCCTGGCCTCTCCAGTCTGCACGCCCTGTGTGGTCACTGGCTCCGAGGGGCCATGTGACCCTTGATTGAAGAGCACAGTTGACCTTCCTCTCTGACAACCCCCTTTTTCTACAGTCGATGTATTTATAAATGGTACAGGATGAAGGATGGCGGCTTTCTGTCCTGGGCGCTGAGCTCTGGGGTTCCTCCCAGACGTCCTATGGGCTGATCACCCACGTGCAGCCTGGAGGGGCCTCACCCAGCCCCCAAGTCTGTAGGGGGCCCGTCAATGCCCGAGAACTCAACAGAGTGCAGTCTTCACAGGAAACGTCACGGGGGCCTTGTGGGAGGAAAGGAAGTGGGGTCTGAGTGTCAGTCAATGAAGGAAACAGTGCCTGTCCCCTCCCCATATGCGTGTACCCTCCCCCCCCACGCGGCCCTGTGGGACCACCTCCCACAGTTTGCCCCCCGCCCCCCCCCCGGGCGGCTAGGCAGTCAGGCCAGGTCTGGGTCTGGCCATTAACAGCGGTTGTGTCCAGGGGCCCTTCTCTGAGCCCCACACCTTCTCGGAGGCGGCCTAGCCCATGTCATCAGACCCTCCGGGTGGGGGGCTCCACTTGGCCGGTGGCGCTGCTGCCCACCTGCCCCGGGAGGGCCTGAGCGGCTTCAACGCTCCCTCTTCACCATGTAGATGCCACTTAGCGTTTCTCTTTGATTTGTTCTGTCTGGGACTCATGTGGTGGGACCTGCCAGGGGATGAGGGTCCCATCTGAGGTGACCTCGTCTTTTTTTAAAGATAAACTTTCTGGGTAACAGAAAGGCAGAGGGGACGCTTGGCCTTGGTGCCCCCGGGTGAGAGCTTCCCCAGCAGGACCTTGAGCCCAGTGGGTGGGTCTGCAGCTCCCGGGTGCAGACACTTAACTTTCCTTGCAAGCGGGAGCGCGTCCCGCTTCCTGTGGAGCTGCCCTGGGAAGGACGGTTCTGGGGCGGCCGGCTGCACAGCCTGAGGCTCTGTTGAGTGGGGCAGTCGGGCGTGGATGACTCCTTTTCCCTCCGGTTGAGCCTGTGAACAGAGGCCACGCTTGGGGCAGCCTGCCCTGGCCCCTTGGCTCCCTGCCTCTCCTCCCCTCCCCCCCACCATGTGTTCATGGGTGCACGCATGCCGACGCACACACACACACAGGCAGGGCGGCCGTGTCCCTCTCCTCAGCCCTCTCCTCTCACGGCCAGCACCCCGGCCTCTCGCCATCGATATTGTGCCAGTAACTCTGAAGGACAGGGTGCAGACTGGCCTGTCTTGTACTTGCGTGTGCTACCATTTGATGTACTCTGATTGGCTAGTTTTTGTTCGTTTTTACTGTCTATTTATAGTAATAAAATCATGCAGCAATATCCCACCCGCTCCTTCCTCCGTGCACAGCACCGCAGGACTGAGGCTTCTTGAGGTTTCTTGGGAGGCAGGACAGCTGAGTAGCTGGTGGCAGCTCTGACGCCCTCACAGCAGTGCAGGTGCCAACTTGTGGCTGCAGCCTCTGTTCCCTCATGTATAAGATGTCCGCGAACTACAACTTCCAGGAGGGCGTGAGGGCTGCTGTTATTACTCTTTTGGTCATCATCGTGCTGATTGTTGGGTTGGAGCAAAGGAGGGACCCTTGGGACTTGGCTCTGCCTCCTGAGCAGGTGGCAGAGCCCAAAGCCTCCAGGTGTGCAAGTTGCTTCAGCGAGTTGATTCATCCCACCGCCGTGAACTGAGTGCCTGCTCTGCCAGAAGTCAAAATGGGCAAGGCCCCTGGAGCCTGTGTTCTAGTCAGTGAGACACCACGCAAGTAATCCAAGTTTTCTCAGGTCTGGTTACTGTTAGGAAGAGAGTCAGCGGGTCACGAGATGGAGTTGATTTAACCTGTGGCTGCGGAGGGCTTCTCTGAGGAGATATTTCAGCTGAGCCTTGAATGCTGCCAAGGAGCTCTCCGCAGAAGCGCACCCCAGGCAGGCGGCCCAGCAAGTGCAAAGGCCCAGAGGCAGGAGTGGACCAAGTGTGTCCAGCAAGTGGCTGAAGCATCAGAGTTGGGGGTGTGGGGTGCAGACACCTTGTGGGGTAGTTTTAGTCAGAGGCTTCTAAGCAAGGGAGCAACTTTCTCCAGCTGTCATGTGGGGAATGGATTGGAGGGGCAGGTTTGGCTGCCAGGATGCTGGAGCCCAGCCAGGGCCCTCTGCTTGGTCTGCGCTCCCCTGCCCAGCGAGCAGCCTCCCCGTAGGGAAAGGCTGGGGCTCCAGAACACCCACTGCAGCACTGCCTGAACCACCACCCACCAGCAGGGCCCTGGCTCCTTTGTAGACAGAGTTCCAAGTAGCCTCCTCTGGTCCCCTCTGACTCAGGCAGCCTGTCCCTGCCCCAAGGAAGGCTTGCCACCCTCAGTTGTGCCTGGGTCTGGCATGGTCCCAGTGTGGGAGAAGGGCGCTCAGTGTCACATGGGTTCTTGCATAGGCTGCACTGGATCTCCCTCCACACTGCCCCCAAACCAACCCACCTCCTTTCTTAATGTCTGCGGCCTGGAGGTGGGGTCCTCCCTGAATTGGCCCTTCCCCTTGATAATCTCTCCCCTTCAGACACGGTTACCTGCCCTGGAATCTGGCTTCCCCTTGCCAGCTGTGGCTGCCCCACCTGAGCCCTGACCCCTGGCAGAGGGCCACGGTAGGGGAGAGCCTCTCTCTTTGGGTCCTTACTCCCCACGTCTGACAGAACACCACCGAGGACCCAACGTGAATGAGTTTCTGGTGAATCCTGCCAACCCTCGCCTGCCCTCTGCCCCTCTCCTTCTCAGCCCCGGTCAGGGCACAGAACTTGCCCTCGGCTGCATGGCTCTCCTGAGGCTGTGCCATGGCACCCATCCTGTGAGCACAGGCTGTGGTGCCTTCCCTCAGCAAATCCATGTCCACGGTGGGAGAAAAATGGAGCTTGAGCCAGCTGGTGGAGCGAGTGGCACCATAGGATCCAGGGGAGCCCCGCTACTGTCCCTCTGATGGCTGTTTCTGATGCTTCCGAGCCCTAGCAACTTCCTTCTCCAGTACAGACACCTGGTAAGTAACTCAGGCCCCCTTTTGCTGAAGCTTCACGGTTTTCTGTTGTGTACACTGGGTAGGAGGCAGTGGGAATCTTGGGTGGGATCCTGGCTCTCACAAACTGCTGGGTGCCCTCAGGCAAGTCCCATTCATCTGAGCCCCAGGTTCCTCCTTGGAATAAAGTGGGGGAGACCTTATTTCCTCCAACAGTACCTGGCTATGGTGTCTGACAGGCAGGGTACTTGGTGCGCTGGGCTGGGAAGCTCCCTGCCCCGGGATTTAAATCACTTCTGCCCCAGCAGGCTGGGCTTAGGGAGCCCCAGAACTCCTCACCATGCACCCAGTTCAGTGCTGGGTGTGGACTTGTACTGTGAGGGCAGTTGGAGCTTTGCCAGACTCTGCTTTCCTGCTCTTCTAGTCAGGCAGACCAGCAGTGACCTTGGATTCCAGTGCTTAGCCGGCTGCAGAACGATGGGGCTGGCGTGCGTGCAGGGAGGGTTGTGTCCTCTGATCCCAGGGCTCAGCTGAGCCCCTTGGGGGAAGCAGGAGGCGCCCTCGCGTCCAGAAGCTGGAGCCGTCCAGGCCTGGAGCTGGCGGTGGGAAGCCCGCGGGGTGGTGCTCCCAGGCAGGCGCTGGGGGAGGGCCGAGGGCAAAGAGATCGCTGGGGCTTCTCCTGCCCTCTTCGGGGCGGGTAGTCTGAACCCTGACTCCGCAAGCACCGCCCCCACCCCGCAAGCGCCGCGCGCCCGAGGACCCGAAGTCCGCGCTCCACTCCTGCGAGCTCGGCTGTCGCGTTGCATCCTGGGCTCTGTGGTTTTCGAGGACCGTGGGCGGGGCCCGCTCGGGGTGCGCGGCTATTGGGTGACGGCTGGGGCGCCCGCAGCCATTCGCTTTGTGCCCGCCCCTTCCGCCCCGCAACGGAGCGTCGGAGAGCCGTGACGGGCTCTGCCCTGGTGCGCGTCAGCGATTGGCGAAGGGGCGGGGCCCAGGGGCGCGGCTGTCCGCGGATTGCTCGGGCGCGGCGGGGGCGGGCCCGCGCATGCACGTAAGGGCGGTGCACGGGTCGCGGTGGGTAGTGCCAAGATGTCGGCGGCGGCGGTTCCAGAGCTGAAGCAGATCAGCCGGGTGGAGGCGATGCGTCTGGGGCCGGGCTGGAGCCACTCGTGCCACGCCATGCTGTACGCCGCAAACCCCGGGCAACTCTTCGGCCGCATCCCCATGCGCTTCTCGGTGCTGGTGAGGACGCGGGAGGACGCGGGCGGGCGGGTACGGGACGCCACTCGGACCTGCGCCCGTGACCCGGCGCTCCCTTGCAGATGCAGATGCGCTTCGACGGACTGCTGGGCTTCCCCGGGGGCTTCGTGGACCGGCGCTTCTGGTCGCTGGAGGACGGACTGAATCGGGTGCTGGGCCTGGGCCTGGGCTGCCTGCGCCTCACGGAGGCTGACTACTTGAGCTCGCACCTGACCGAGGGCCCGCACCGCGTCGTGGCGCACCTGTACGCGCGGCAGCTGACGCTGGAGCAGCTGCATGCTGTGGAGATCAGCGCAGTGCACTCGCGGGATCACGGCCTGGAGGTGGGGGCCGCTGCTCGGGCCCCGCCCCCCGCCCCGGGGTTTGGCTCTGGCCCCGCGGAAGGCACCGATGGGTAACACGTCCCCCTGAGGGTCCCCTGGACAGTTTGGGAGGGTGTCGCTGTCTCCAGCTTCGGGGTGGGGAGAGGGACCAGGGGTCGGGTAGGGTGGGAGGGGGGCCGGGGCTGGGGCTCCCTCGGGGCTGTGTTCCATCTGCCTTGCTGCCTGCCATTGCCAATCCTGGGAGTGGGGAGTGGGATCGGTGGGAGGATGGGAAGGGGCGGTGCCTGCTCCGGGAGGTGTGAAACTGCAGAGTAAAAAAGAGATCTTGTAGGTCTGGGTTCATGGGCCGGAATCTCATGGTGTGAGGGATGAAGGCTCTACTTCTGGGTTTTATAGTCTGGAAGACTGGGAGTGGCACTTGGGGTGTTTGGGATTCACCAGGTGAAAGAGGGAGCATGGGGGTGTGGACTGTGGGGCTTCCTGCTAGTGGATGAGGGCTGGGACTTGAGAGTGGGATGTGCATGGGGATGGCCTTGAAACTTGCTTGGGGAAGAGAGGGGCTGCACCGCACCAAGGGAGCTGGCTGGCTTCTACCTCACCCAACCCTAGCTGGGTCTCCCATTATGTCCTTGGCAACCTGGCTGTCCTTCCCGTGGCCTAGCTGCTCACAAGCCCCTCCTGCCAAGGCCATGCCATCCGTGTGGGGGCCTGGTCCCAATCCTGGTCTCCTCTCCATGCAGGTGCTGGGGCTCGTGCGCGTCCCACTGTACACCCAGAAGGACCGAGTCGGTGGCTTTCCCAACTTCCTGAGCAACGCTTTCATCAGCACAGCCAAGTACCAGCTCCTCTTTGCTCTCAAGGTGCTCAACATGATGCCCGAGGAAAAGCTGGCTGAAGCTTTGGCTGCGGCCACAGAAAAGCAGAAGAAGGCCCTAGAGAAGCTGCTCCCATCTTCCTCCTGAGGTTGCTCCTGTGCCTTGTGTCTGTCGCCCTCCCGCTGGCTCTCTGTACCCGTGGGCTGAGGCTGGGCCCTCCAGCCTCGTTGTGGGAGTGTGTCTTCTAGCATGTTCTGTGCTTGACTCATTCCGACTGTATTGGGGAGTGGGCACCTCCTCTTCTCCACTGCCCAGAGCAGTTACTGGGTGGTAGCCTGGGTGCACCCACTCTAAAACGAGCTCTCTGCGTGCGTGTCGTGGGCTGGTGGAGCCCCAGGTGTTTCCTGATGGCCTCAGTGGATAAGTGCACATGCACTTGGACCCTGGAGAAGTTGCTTTGTTCTCGTGGCAGTTTTGTTCTTGTGGAGGCCAACTTTGGGTTGACTCCATCCTGCGTCCTGCCCCGAGCCAGCCCCAGGGTCTGGAGAAACGCCAGCCCAGGATAGGAGGTTATGTTGTGAATTTTGGTTGTTAGCTTTATTTGTGGTGAGTTTTCAAAGCAGCTTTACCTGCTCTGTCTTGGGCCCTGTCCCTGCGAACAGTCAGGGCCATGGGGCCCAGGTGTACAGGGAGCTGCTGGAGAAAGGACAGTAAAGTTGTGCCTCCGCTGTTCTGTGTGTTCTTCAGTCCTGGCTACAGGCCTAGGGGTGGATGCACGAGGGTGTCCCCTTCCCCGCCACTCAGGGACCTGAGGGCAGGGGCCGGGCATAAGAGCGGGGCTCTGGGTACCATTCAGGTGGAGCTGATGCAGGCCTCCCCTCCCAGGTGGGGGTGCCAGCCACCTCCCCGTGTTGACTGTGGCACTGCCAGCCATGGACTCTTCTGGGCCATGGGCCTGGTCTGGTGGTTTCTTCACTGAGACTGACAGTGTGACGCCTCTCCCTGATCCTGGTGGCTCTGGTGGCGCCTGGGCTGAGCCCACTGCTGCTTCCTTTGAGAGCCTCCCCTCTCTGTTCCCAGCACAGCCTGCAGGCACCTCCAGGAAGCAGTCTGGCAGCACTGGCCAAGCGTGCACAATGACAACAGCAGAGCCACCACAGGACAGGAAGGTCACCACTGGCGGTCTCCTATGGCCCTACGTCTGGAAAGACTCCTCAGCGAAGCTCACAGTTTCCACAGCGCCGGCCTGGTAAGGAAAGCAATGCTCCTGGCCCAGCCTGGGTGTCCCATCTTAGAGCCTCGACGAAGTGGCTGGCACATGTGGGCAAGGACACTCTGCTCTGTAAATAAAACACCTGTACTTGCTCCTCTCTTATTTCTGGGGCCTGCTTCGCTCTCCAGGTAGCTTTGTAGAATCATGGGGGTTCTGATGCAAAGGTGGCCCTAGCTACAGGCAGAGGGATGGGGCAGCAGGGATCACCCAGTTGGTCCTGCCCTGAGCATGGTGCTCTGGGCGAGGGCCCTGGCACAGCTTTCCTCTTGCTGTGGTTTATCAGCCAGTACCTCAGGCCGTGGGACCAGAACTGAACCCCTCACCAGCCAATCTTAAACTTTATTTTCCAGCAAATGACATATGCTGCCCAGGCAACCCGCCCCAGTCCTCACCTGTCTGGGCGAACCTCAGTGTGGCGCCTGTGGTGTGTGGGGACACGCTCTCCCCAAGGCCCTGCCTGCTCTGGGCCCCACTCCCGGGTCTGGATAAGAGACCCTCGTCTTGCCTCAGTGTGGGCCTTGCTGCCCTCGCACCGGCCACAGCCCCGTCCTGTCTGCCAGCTGCTCCTGGGGCCTGATCCTCTGGCCCTGGCCACTGCAGCTGCCCGCTCGCTGGCCTCCTGTCCTCTGGGCACACAGCTTCAGGGTGGATCAGTCACCCCACGTCAGATTCTGAGAAGGGAAAGGGAAGACTGAGGGGGGCGCTCGCTCGGCTGCACAGCTGCCCTGCTCTTGGGGCCGAGGTCCTGGACGGACAGACACTCACCGTCCCCCTGGCTAAGGCTCCCGCCACTTCTCCTTCCCGTTCAGCACTTGCAGCTTCTCCAGGCTCTGGGTCACTAAGCACAGCACTCGCCCTGAGAACGGGGGCAGACAGTTACTGCTTCGCAGTCTGGAGGGCTCGAGGACACAGGAATGGATGACTTTGAGGGCTGGTGGGCTGTCCGGCCCCCTGGACTCACCCATCTCCCGGACTCGATCCTCCAGGGCTCCCGACAGCTGAGGGAGGCTCAGGGCCTGCAAGGCGGCCTGCCAGCCTTTGGAGTCTGCAGGGCAGAGAGCTGAGTAGGCCTGGGGTCTGTGCTCACAGGCCCTGCCTTTCCATCCTGAGCCACTGCGACCAGGGGACGCCCCTCCCCCAACCTTTGGTGCCATACGTCCCCCTCATTATATCAGAGTGTTCTCCTCCCACTTGTGGAGCAAAGCACTGACGGCCGGTCAGGGCTCAGCCCCAGGAATGTGTGTGAGGGCCCCTGCCTACTGCTGGGCTGTGCCCTGGGGGGGCCCAGCCAGGGGCTGCAGAAGTCACTTGAGGTCTTGGACAGTGGAGGCAGCCATGGCCCAAAGGCCACCTGGAGGGACAGTGAGGACATGGGCTTGGGCACGTGAGAGGATCTGGGGTGGGGTGGTGTCAGTGTGATAACTGCACTGAGACAAGTGGTAAAACCCAGCCTGGGGAGGTGTCCCTGCCCTCTGTCTACCTGTTCTGGGTCCAGGACACTGCTCTCCTTACCAGCTGTGGGGAGGCCTGGGCCCAGCATGGCCTCGAGCGGGGATTCATCCTGCTGCACTCGGGCGGACAGCTCAGCTTGACAGGCTCTGCCGGATACGAGAACCAATCTCTGGTGAGGGGAGAGGCCAGGCGATCGCAGACACCCTTCTCCCAGAGTGTGAGGCGGGGCTCTGCCCTGTGCGCCCTGCCAGCCTGTGCCTGTGCGGCCCGGGCAGAGAAAAGACCCACACGGGGCCCCTCTGCTGCCTGGTCTGCCCTGCAAGGAGGGACAGCCAGATGAAATTGGGGTGGCGGTGACTCCAGGAGGCCCTGAAAACAACCCATTCTTGGAAGAATCTGGAGGAAACAGTGACTTGGCCTGGCCCTGGCCCGGGGGCAGCTCGGACACCCACTTACTGCAGCTGGTCCAGGACAAGTGCAGCGTCCCGGGCCAGGGCCCAGGTCTCCTGCAACTGTGCGTGGACGTCCTTGCGGGCGCCGTCCTGTTCCAGGAGGCAGCTCTCCACCACGGCCCGCAGCTCCTGTTCCTGTGACACCAGGCCCCGCATGGCCTCCACCTCCTCACAGCGCTGCATCGGGAGAGGCAGCAGGTGCAGCAGGCTGGTTCGGGGGTGGGGAATGACCACTCGGGCAGGGTTCCCCCACCCCAGGTTCCATCTCCGCCGTCAGACTGCCTCCTCCTCTCCTGGCCTGGGGGGACCTGTCTCCACCTTGGAGCCCCCCAGGCCTGGGCCCTTCCTGCAAGCCCTGTGGTGTGCGCCGCTGACACCCCTTCTCCCTCCTGTGCCCACCTGTGCGCCCCACTGCATCCGAGCCATGATGCTTCCTGGCCTCGCTATCCTGTCACCCGCCCTGGCTGTTGCTCTCCGCTGATTCTGGGCATCTGTCTCCACTCTGTGTCCTTCTCTGCACATCCCCTGCCCCAGCTCTCTACTTACTTTGTGCAGCTGGATGGCAAGCTCCTGCATCTCGGCTTCAAGCCGGTCGGCGTAGGCCAGCTCCAAGGCATCACTGGGGGGGCGGGCGCTGCTGTGCCAGCGGGCGATGGCAGAGGTCATCTTTCTCTTGGGCCCAAACAACCTACAGCAGGGAGTGAGAGGACACGGATCAGCACCCGCTCTATGTGGAGGTTCCGTGGGCCGTCCTTCTACTGAGACTGTCTGCTAGAAAGATCCCAGCTTTGAAGGGGGAGAGTAGCCCCCAGGATCCTGGGACAGAAGACAGAAAGAATCGTAAGGAGTCGTGACCTTCCCACCCTGCCTGGCCGCTGCTTTCACTGGACAGGGAGCTGGGGCTGCTAGGGATGCTCTCAAAGGTGGACAGTGGAAAATGTCAGGGTGCCCTGAGCACAGCAGTGTCTGCTGGGCCAGCTCGGGGCCTCGGGACCCAGGCTGCCTGCACCTGAGCTGGGAGCAGCTGTAGGAGTGGACAGCTGACAGCAGGGAGAAAGCCGGCCACTGGACAGGAAGGGTCTCCACCCAAATGCTGGGAGCTGCACCTCAGCTGGTTCCTGGGCATCGTAGCTACAGAGGCCCTGGGACTCACGTGATGCCGATTTCCTTCAGGTCGCTCTCAGTGAGGGTCAAAAAGATGCGGAGGTCCACGTCCTGCTCCTCAAACACCTGCAGGTATTTGAGGCAGCCAATCTGCTCCAGCAGTGTGGCGAGGTCCTAGAGGGTGAGGAGCCAGGGCAGGTCAGAGGACAGGCAGGCCACGAAGACGTGGGGACAGGAAAAGGCCTGTGCTGCACACAGAGCTGCCTTTCTCCTGCTGAGCACCTGGCCTGGCCTGAGCTCTGCTGACTCCCAAGTTCGGCAGAGAGCCTGGGCTGCCCCCTGTGTGTCCTCAGGCAGGGCAGGCAGGGCGTCTCTGGACCAGTGTCTTCACTGCAGCAGGAAGCACACCCTGTGGCAGGTCTGCGGCAGCAGCTCCTCTCGGTCTCTGCTGACCCGGGACTCTTCATTTTTCCTTCACTCTGGGGGACAGTCTTTGCTGGACGTCGCACTGTTGGTTAACATGTCGTCCCATGTCTTCTGGTCCCTGTGGTTTCTGATGAGAAATACGCTGTTAATTGTCTGGAGATCCCGTTGTACGTGCTGAGTCACTTGTCTCTTGCTCCAAGATTCTTTGTTTAGTGACACTCTGATTGTGATGTGTCCAGGTGTGGCTCTGAATTTAACAAACTTAGAGCTCATTCAGCTTCTTGGATGTGCAGATTCATTTTTTGATCAAATCTGAGAAGATTTGGCCTTTTTTTTTTTTTCACTGAAAACTTTTTTTGGCCTTTTGGATAGAAATGGGAATTTATTTGCCAGGAAGGATGATGCCATGGAACCAGTGCCGGACCTCCTCTTTGCTAATTCTGTGTTTGGTCCCGACGCAGCCTGCCCTGCACTTCTTGTCTGCGATGCTGAAACCTGGCCTCCCCAGCACCACGTAGAGGTCCAGGCTGTAGGTACCAATGCCTGGTGTTTGATCCCCAGATCGACGTGTTCTTGGATCCCCAAATCAAAATTTCCAGTATCTGAGAGATTATTTTTTCTTAACTTGCATTCTCGCACCTTTAGATGTTTCTCCAGGATTTCTTCTGCCTTGGCCCCACGGACTGTGCAGTGGACGGCAGTCTTTTCATTTCCCCTGATAAGATTTGGCTATTTTAAAACATTTTTTCTACTTTTCCCTCCCTCCTCCCCAGGAACACCATTACGTGCACGCTGTTACACTTGCTGGTGTCTCACAGGTTTCTGTTCATTTTTCCTCATTCTTCTTTATCGGATTGGATAACCTCAAGTGATCTATGTTAAGTCTTCTGGTTCTCTCTTCTGTGTGCTCAAACCTGCTGTTAAGCCCCTCTAGTAAAATTTTCATCTCAGTTATTGTACTTTCAGTTCCAGAATTTCTATTTGGTTCATTTTTATTTCTATCACTTTATTGATATTCTGTATTTAGACATGGTTTCCTTTAGCTCTTGGAACATATTTTATTCCTTTTTTTGTTTCTGTTTTACAAATCCTGTGTCAAGGGCTGACTTTCAGGAGATGGCAGTGACAGAGCTGCTCTGCTACGTAGGAAACCCCGACCCAGAAGCAGGTAGCTTCGCCCCACTGGCTCCTCTGCCAAGCACATACACCAAATCTTGGAACATATTTAAAGAAGCTGATTTAAAGGCTCCAATCGGCATGTGTTTAAGGTATGGAGAGGTCAGCTGCTCACCGAGCCTGGGAACACAGGCACTGGAGAAAGCTCGCCAGAGGAGCTGCGAGGAGAAACCAGCAAAATCACAGGCTTTTAGTGAAGAGCAGAGCTGTGCCTTTAATAAATGGCAAATGCTGACCTCTCTTCCACCTCTGTACCACTTATGCCCGCAGAGGGTGGGAGAACACACTAGGCAGTGGCGCTGCTGTTGTACCTGTAATCCTGGACAAACTGCCCAGTCAGAGCAGCCACGATGAGAAAGGCAGCAATTAAGTTCTCATTAAGTCCCGACTAAGTGCCACTTTGCCTCTGCTTCCCATGCAGCTTGTCACTGTCACCTGAAAGCAGCTCTGTGATGCTGGTCCTGTGTTTCTCCTCCCCAGGC